TTGCACATTTGTCGAAGGAAATGTAAGGTGCTTCATGAAATATTTTGTAAAAGATATGTTCATTAAATTTCAACATTTTCCTAATGTTCTTGTGCTTCTTTATACCAAAACAAAGGAAAGACATTGTTTTGGTTATTTATAGCAAAGTATGGTATCATTTTAATGGTCCGGCCCACTTGACATCTACCGAGGCCGTATGTGGCCCACCATGTGAAATGAGTTTGACACCCCTGCCTTAAACACAAGCACTTACACTTCACACATATTTTCATGGTCGCTGTGAATTTCTGTGATATGTTGTCATTTTTTGGGTCAATTATTTGGACTCTTTGGTATTGTCGCTCAATTAAAGTTTTTTTTTTCTTTTGACAATTTCACTATTTCTTGATAAATGCTGTTCTAATATTCAGGGATGTTTTTCTTTTTTTCTGTATTTTTCTCTTCGTTCTTGTTCTCAGGTGGAGTATGAGGGTCTCAAGCATGAGATTAAGGTCCTTGAAGAGGAGACTGTTCTGCTCAACAGCCAACTTGAAGACGCTTTACGTCTGAAAGAAATCTCTGCTGGGCAACTGGAAGAGGCCCTGGATGCCCTCAAGAGTGAGCGTGAGCAAAAGAACAATCTGCGAAAAGAGTTGGCCCATCACCTCAGCCTGAGTGACAGCGTCTACGGCGTGGGCACCCACATTGCCCTCACTGTCACTGGCGTCGAAGGCCTCAAGTTCCCGGAGGAGGTCAACGGCAGCGCCGGCGCCAACAGCAGCAACGGCAGCGTTCTTGTCGCTGTCAATGGCAACAGTGATGACTGTTGTCGGCACAACGGTCACCTTCATGCAGGCGCCATGTTGGCCAAAATGAATGGAGACTACCGTGCGGGCAGAAAGAGCGAGGGTACGCACCCGGTACCTGACCTGTTTAGTGAGCTCAACCTGTCGGAGATGCAGAAGCTCAAACAGCAGCTCATACAGGTCAGTGAAGGAAGTCGACTTTGTGGTATGCTGGCTCACTCTCTTGGAAGCCACTCGATCTTTTCTTATTGCTATGATAACAATAACAGCAGAGGTCCATCCCATATAAAGATGATTCCGAGAAATCAGTGTTTGTGTGTTAAACAAACGCATACGTGATGGATAGGGAGTGAGAGGACTTTTAAATGTAATGAATTTGATTAAATACGCTTCACTGGACGCTTGGTTAATTCAGATGTCAGTATGCTGCTTTAATCCCCATAATCACACAAATAATTGAATTAAGATCAGTGATAATAAAAGGTTTCTGACAGAAATGGACAAGTACAATGTTTTTTCCCCCTTTAATACAAGTTGATATCCTCCCAGTGGAAAAGATAAATCATCTGTTGTCATGACACGTGAATTCCCTGAAGCTGTTTTAGTTACTTCTGGCATAGTCTAGATATCTTTAGTGACAAAGTTCTGTTCAATTGCAAAGAGAAACTGACATTTGGCATTTGCGATGTTGCTCAAATCGTTGCCTGTTTTGAGATTAGGCAGCAACAGAGAACTGTTGTGATGCATGTGCGTGGGCCATTGGGAGTGCTGTCAAGATGATTAGGACGTGATCGGCACAGCAAAGTGATGCAGAGAAGAGACACGGACGAGGACTGGCGTTTTCTGCTTTTGGTCTAGAAACACAAAGCTGTAAATGTGCCAGCATCATGCATACTTACAGCATGTGAAGCACATAACTTCATACGTCATGTCGACAATGTGGACAAAAGTCTTGGGGGGAAAAAAAAAAAACACTGAATCAACAAATTAATCACTTGACGGTTGTCTCCCCCGTTCCGCACATCAAAATTCAAGGCAATTCTCAACTAAGCTTGTGCCAACTGCATAAATGTCACTTATGTGAAAAACTACACCGCCAATGTACCAGGACACTTTTATGGGGAAATGTTGTCACACACCTTTTAATGAAATGAATATTCAATAAGAAAATGGGCTGTTTTCTCAGTTCAACCATCACAGCTTTTACCGGATCGACATATCAGTGGGTTCAACTTTGATGTTTTGGCAGTTCATGGCCTCAAAAATGACCAAATTATTTTCAGTACACTTTTACACAGTTAGAAATACAGTCATACCTCGGTTTTCGACCATAATCTGTTCCAGAAGGCTGTTCGAAAACCGATTTGTTCGAAAACCGAAACCGCGCTCTTTTTAAAAAAAAAAAAAAAAAATTTTTATTGAACACGTCTGTTCACCATGGAACACTAAACGAGGAAGCGTCACTTCCTCGTCTACCCGAGGAAGCACCGCTTCCTCGTGTAAGGAAGGCGAGAGGAGTCAAGTGACGCATTCAAGTGCGCTCAGTTTGTTCGAGAACCGAAATTTGGTCATTATCCGAGGCATAAAAAACTCGAAATTTTTGGTCGAAAACCAATTGGGTCGAGAACAGAGACGTTCGAAAACCGAGGTTTGACTGTACAGATCATTACTAGACCCCAAATGTTTCATCTTTCTTGGTGTTTTAACACATTTTATAGACGGTGAAGTCTGTTCATGACATAATTATGCAGCATTCTTTTGTGAATGCTAATTCTATCCTTCAGGTAGAGCGTGAGAAAGCGGCACTGCTCATGAACCTGCAGGAGTCCCAGACCCAGCTGCAACACACACAAGGCGCACTAACCGACCAGAGTGAGCGAGTCCATCGCCTCACGGAGCGCGTCAACGCCATGAAGCATCTTAATGGTGGCAAAGGGCTGGATGACCCTCAAGACAGTGACAAACCTGCCGACGGCACAATGTCACCTCAAGCTAATGGTCACTGCGACGTGGACATAAATGGGTTTGAGGTCCTGGAGTGTAAATACAAGGTGGCGGTGACAGAGGTGATCAACCTGAAAACAGAGCTGAAGGCCTTGAAGGAGAAGTACAGCCAGGCTGCAGAGGGGCAAGCAGATGCTCACAGTGACGACAGAATACGCGCACTGGGCGAACAGGTTTGTTGTCACTATTAAAAAAAAAAAAAACATATACCGGTATGAAAAGGGGCCCCCGGGCCTGCGTTGGTTTTCTTCTGGGACTTCAGTTTCCTCCCACAAAAAAACCAAACATGCATCCAAATTGTCCCTAGGTGTGATTGTGAGCGTGAATGGTTGTTGAGACCAACACGTGTGCCCTGCGGTTGGTTGGGAACCAGTTCAGAGTGTCCCCCGCCTACTGCCCGAAGACAGCTGGGATGGGCTCCAGCATGCCCCGCGATCCTTGTGAGGATAAGCGGATTAGAAAATGGATGGACGGATATGTGCATGGTAAAACCACTTCAGGAGGCGACAAGACACTCTTTTCTCTCTCACTTTCCGATGTCTTTTTATTCAAAAATTTTCTCCCAAGCCGCAAAGACTTCACCTAAAATAATTCTGTTTTGGTGTTTTTGTTTGTTTTAAAAGATTGTCACTGCAAACTATTTTAGCTCTCAAGCACTCTCGCTTGATACTCCATTTGAAAAAATTCACACAATACTGCTCCTGCTCACTTTTCTTGTTTCTTTACTTTATTTGCCTTTTATTTCATCTACAAATGTGTCAGATCATTTTGCCTGACCATGCATTTTAATAATTGCCATTTGGCAAATGAAAGTATTCAATGCACTTTAGTTACACTTTCTATCAAGACAATATGGACTGGTAACGTAATGGTACATGCTACTGCCATTCAAGCAGGTGGTGCCGGATTTATTCTCTGCCAGTGCCTGATGCCCAAATGAATGGAAAGGTTTGCAATCGTGATGACATGCGGATTACAAACTGTCATTGAATATCATGAGAAATGTGTCCAGAGTTTTGACTGGTTCTGTATACTTTTTATTGTTGTATTAATTGCATCATATTTTATTGCCTAGAATTAATCAGAATTAATGTTCTGTTCAGGTAACCCATTTGGAGAACAGTTTACGAGAAGGCCGTGAGAGGGCGGTGAGCTTGGAGGCGGAGCTACGTGCTGCTCTGAGCACTGCCGCAGAGAGTCAACTCCTTCTGAACACTGCACAGGACGAGCTGGTGACCTTCAGCGAGGAGCTTGCACAGCTCTACCACCATGTGTGCCTGTGCAATAATGAGACACCCAACCGCGTCATGCTCGACTATTACCGGCAGAGTAGAGTCACACGCAACGGCAGCCTCAAAGGCTCTGAAGACCCCCGGGCTTTACTTTCACCCCGCCTGGCTCGACGCCTGGCTGCGATTTCGGCACCCTGTTCTTCCGAGGCTCAGCGAAGTCCCATGGACTCCCCGTCCAAAGATTCCCAACACAGTGACACAACAACCAATGCAGCGGACTCTCCCATCCACCACGGTAGCCCCACTCGCAACACCACCAGCTCTCCTGGGACCAGCATGTCCCCTTGCCCATCACCGGTGCCCTCCGAGGCAGGGGGAGACCTGCGGAAGGAGCCCATGAATATCTACAACTTGAACGCCATTATTAGAGACCAGATCAAGCACCTGCAGAGGGCTGTTGACCGCTCCCTGCAGCTGTCCAGGCAGAGGGCTGCAGCCAGAGAGCTTGCACCCACGCTCGATAAAGACAAGGAATTGTGTCTGGAGGAAATTCTGAAGCTCAAGTCGCTTCTCAGTACCAAAAGAGAGCAGATAGCCACACTCAGACTGGTTTTGAAGGCCAACAAACAGGTAAGAAGTCAAGCCTCTTTAGAACTTGAAAACATCACAAAACGAAATGCATCAATTATCTTTTTAATGAGCCATGATAATTGGTTGGCTGTCCTTGATTTGTCAGCTGTGCATATCTTCTTACAGCGTTGTTTGAAATCTTGAAGTTCATTTGTGAGATGCTGTCTCTGAATGTTCACAACTCCTGTTTCTATACCAGTACTGTATTACTCCGAATATTTTTGAATGGTGCTTAGGTGTAGAATGTAGATCATCACGTTGATCATATTTAGACCAAAAAACACTTTACACAGAATCACCCGCAGTTCTGCTGGTTGCACCCAGGTCGCGCTCTTCATCTTGCCTCATTTGCTTCAGGACACAATTAAATTTTTTTACAGTAGAATGTAAAAAAGTATAAATGTATAATTATATAAAATTACAATCTTGTCTCAATCACTGGATAGATGAACAAAGATATGCTATTTGTAGCAAACGAGTAACACATTTCAGAACAATTACGTGAAATTGGATTCCCCCGCACGCCTGATGGTGCTGTAATGTGCGTTCTACAAGACACGTCTTTCTCAAAGGTGACTGTCCACATTGCAGACAGCAGAGGTAGCACTGGCCAATCTGAAGAGCAAGTATGAAAATGAAAAGGCGATGGTGACAGAGACGATGATGAAGCTGAGGAACGAGCTGAAGGCCCTCAAAGAAGACGCCGCCACCTTCTCCTCCCTCAGAGCAATGTTTGCTACCAGGTGAGGGCACTAGCAGTCGTTGGTGCAAATCTTTTTTTTTTCTTTGGTTTGAAGAAACATCGCGATAAGTCTGTTTTGTTGTGTCTTTGCAGATGTGATGAATATGTTACCCAGCTAGATGAGATGCAGAGACAACTTGCAGCAGCGGAGGATGAAAAGAAGACATTAAACTCTCTCCTCCGTATGGCCATCCAGCAGAAACTGGCCTTGACCCAACGGCTGGAAGATCTGGAGTTTGACCATGAGCAGATCCATCGTGGTCGCGGCGCTAAAGTGCCCAAGATAAAAAGCAGCCCACCAAAAGTAAGTGGCACATTATTGACTCAGATGAAGTGTGATCATTCAAACACATTTAATAACACAAGAGGTAGAGACAAATTAAAACGAAGTGAAAATGACGACAGAATGTTTTTTTCGATATGTTTTGGGAGTATGCAGTGCCCCCTTCCGACAAAAGCTGTGAACTGCAGTATGAGACTGCAATTTTGAATCCTGGAACACCGTTTTAATTACTCCATCCTGTTTTAATTAGCACCATTATAATTTACTCATCCGATATTGCATTTACAAGTTTCTTCGTAGAATACTTTTAGGTGTATCAAAAAGAAAATCATTCAAATAAAGACACACAAGCATCCCGCTTCTTCCATGCACATGTACATTGTTAATCACAAGATGGCAGTGTCTTTCCTGCTATGATATTTTACACTGACGCTCTCCTTGTTTTGTCTGTTTGTCTAAACCGTGAGCATCACCACTGCGTGTATGTGTCTAATGTATCAGTTTCTTGTAGATTGTCAGCAGCCTGCTGCCTCAATATCGTCACTCCCCACACAGCTAAGGTGAGAGGGAATTTCCTTTGCATACAGGTAACGTGCTGTACTATAATTTTTTCTATCTAGAGCAGGGGTTACCGTAACTATTTCCTGCTTAATGTGACATGCTAAAAGTTTGATTGAGATTTCTGAAACCATAAACTTGCCAATTAGATGACATGATCTTATGTGCGATTATTAGCAATCTATCTATGTGAATACGGTATATTAATCATGTTCATGGTTCCCCACAATAATTATCAACAATGATCTAACAAGGTAGGAAATTATTTATCAGTATACCACTCTTGTCAAAATCTCTACAGGTGTTTACATTTTGATTATCACTTCAAGAAATTCCTAGGAAATCCCACTGCCCCAATTTTGGATTATTTTTACCACAGGTCCACATGCTACTGATGTGGTCCTGCGGCACTACCTGGTGCCAGTGGACACTGTGTTGGTGACCCCTGATCTACAGTACTCTGTCTGTCTGTCATGGCAGCCGTTGACTGTTCTTCAGGCATGGTGGTCAACCTTTGTTTCCAACCCTGTTTTGGTATTGTGATGTTCTCCTTTGAGGATCATTGGATAAACATCAGTGGACTTTTTTTCCTGCCTTTGCGAGGATTGTGTGAATAATTTCAGCCCTGTTTTTTTTGTTTGTATGGTCGTCGTGGAGTAAAGCTAGCCTGGCAGCTGAATTAAGTTGGACAGAGAAGAACGATGAGGAAATATGATTGTCTGAATGGAGACATTTACCTTTAGAAAATAGGCCAGGGGTGGCCAACCAGTCAGAGACTAAGAGCCAATTTTTTTACTGTGTTACTGCAAAGAATCTCACACACACACACACACACACACACACACACACACACACACACACACACACACACACACGACCATGCACTCACGCACATATGCATGCACGCCATGACGAGCAACAGCCTGATCGCCGAACATAAATGAAACCTAAAGACACAAACACACAAATCTTTTTTCTTTTTTTTTTTTCCATTTCCTCCTCCCACCGCTCGCGGTCGACTTGGGACCAGTCTGCTGGCTCTTGGTCGATTGCGATCGACATATTGGGAACCCCTGCCTTAAAAACGGAGGTAATTTGCTGACTAGCTTAGCACTTAGCACTTAGCGCCGTTGTTTGCGCATGAGCGGTGATTCAGTCATCTGATTGGTTGCCCTCTATGTCAATCAAGTAACAGGATTGGTGATAGGCTGACGTAGTACGTTCTATGTATTAAGCACCGATGTTTTAATGGCAGCCCCATCGCCGAGGCGTTTTCGACAATTGTGTGAAAGCCCGGGAGCCGCATTGAACCAGCCAAAGAGCCACATGCGGCTCACGAGCCGCGGGTTGGCCACCCCTGTAATAGGCCATCAGTTTCTCCCAGATTGTACTCTACAATTTGTGCAGGTCTAAGAGGTATTGACTTCAGACCTGTTTGGTTGGTTTAGTTAGTTAATTGAGCACTAGCTGTAAATATTTAGTTAAATGTTTCCACCTTTCGCTGAGTGGCATTTCAGTTCCGTCATTGAATGTTTTATGCAGGAAACCTGTGTGATTTGGATCTCTTTATCCGCCAAAGAAAATGCTGTCTATTCCTTGTTGTACAGTCTTCCAACCACATGTATTTCCACTGTTTGTGTTTCTCCGTTCTTTCAGTCCTAAATTTCGTGCTGACCTTCAAGAACACAAAACAGTTTTGTCCAGCGGTAGGAGTCGTCTTTTCTCCTCTTTTGACCTTCGTGACTGCCTGACCCACCATCCCAAGCCACCCGGCACCTAGCCCAGTAAATGTCGGCTGTCGACTAGGAGCGGTGTTCCTATGCAGCTCCTTGAAGCCCTACGAAGATGTCACTGGATGTTTTGACCCAGAGGTGCTTTCCTGGCCCGCTGATTCCCTGTGTCACAAGAGACAGGTGCACACAGATGAGACAAATCACATGACTCTTTGCCCCTATTCGTATGCATTCTTAATAATGATGAATAATGGTGATGATTTATTTATTAGATATTTATTCATATTGAAATGGCGTTTTTCTCTTGGCTGGTCATTCCTCAACTGTGACTGAATATTAAAACAAACCCAAAGAACACAGTATTAAAAGGGAGATTTTATCAGTGTTAAAGAATTTCTTGTGGTGGTCATGGTGGAAATTATAGGATCATCCTAACCTCACTAGTCTTTCTTTGGATGCGTGCGTTTTTATGCAGTTTTTTTTTTTTTGCAAACATGAGATTTTTATTGCTAGGTTTCTTTTATTTTAGAGCAGCGTCAAGGGATGTTACTATATCCGTGCTTGGCTCAGTTCTCTTCAGACTGAGTGAGATGAGTATGTTTTGAGATCAGGGCTGCTGGCCTGAGATTTTGCCTTTTGAGTTGCACAGGTTCAAGTGACCATGTGGGGACCAGACTGCTTCCTTTAAAAAAAAAAATGTCAACAGTAATTTAACAAAGTGTGCCTCTTGACTGTCACCATTATTTTTTTTCATGTCTAACTTAAAACAAGTAATGTGTCTTCTGAGAGGTCCTCTTGTGTTTTATGTAGTAATTAGGGTTACAAAATCAATTTATTATTTTTTTGTGTGAAAGAAATGACCTGAAATATTCCAAGTTTTACACAGAGTAGTTATTGGGAATATATGGACATTAATTTAAATTTTGACACAAATTGTATCATGAACTTGAAGATGAATTGTCCTCATTTGCCCTCTTGTAACACATTGTGATGATGATGATGGCAAATTATCTTTGTTGAAATGCTTCCTTCATACAGTATGCAGTACTGTCCAAGCACAACTGAGCACTATGCATCACAGCAATATAAAGTACAGTCAAACCCATCACAAACTCTCTACCTGCAGTAAAACTATGGTTCCTACTTCCTTCATCGTGAAGACACTTAAGAGTAGGTTGAAAAGGTTGTTTAAGAAGAAAGTTATTTCTCACAGTGACAACACCAAACATAACAGTTCCAATCTGACAACTGACTGGGATTGGTTGTCTTTTTAACGTGAGTCCTTGTTTTTATTATTTTTGGAACCTCATGCTTGTTGAGCATTGATGTGTCTGATATGTCCACTCAATGCTGATGTTCTAATGGGATACGAATGATACAGTTGAACGAAAGCCAGTACAACGTTTGAACATGCATCCCCGAACGGACTGTTTGTTTCTTGTTGTATCTGTGCATTTCGGAATATCTGTACTCCTGCTGGTTCACTTGTGAGCACCGTGTCTTGATCTGTTTGCACAATATAGCAGGCCAGAAGGAGAGAGACTAAAAATGGTAAACCTGGTTTTAGAATAAAAATAGCTGAATGCTGAAGCTACAATTGAATTGTTTTGTTTCTCGTCTCTTTATTAAAACTGCATTTAATTGGTTTCAGAAATAAATGATTTGTCTAGTTTATGGTGTCTTTCAATTTTATGACAATGCTGAAATTCTCTTATGTACACTGAGCATCAACATAAGGTACTGCACATGTAACGATACAATGTAGGTGCCCTTTTATGTCTTTAAAATGACAGTGTGGCTCAACTGAAACTGTCAGAGTGGTATTCATTTATTATATTTATTTCATTGGGACAGTGCGCATAATCAACACAACAGTGTAAATGCGCCGGACTTAGCATAAATGTTAGTTTTCAGCCGTAGTTCCAAGGCAGGTTTCTTAACATAAAAATAACAAACAAAACAAAATAATAATATTATTATTATTATTATTATAAAACAATATAACAACACAAAACACAATCAGTTAATCTTATCCACTTTTACTGCATGCCCTTTGTTTTTTGAAGCGGTTCTAGATGAAAGAGGAGAGAATCAAAGTGTCCTTTCAACAGTGGATCTGACGTCATGCTCAAAATGTGCACACGTCTACGACAAGCTAAATAAAACATATTTAAGTATTGAACGTGTTGTTTGCAGTTAGTATTCGTGTAGAAATTCACAGCATTATAGTGAGAACTGTTAGTAAAATGTTAGCCCTATCACGTAACTAAGTTAAATTAAAAACTCGCATCAATTCTCTTGGTGGGTTGTAATGTAATTCTACAAGACTGCAATGCGTGATTCTACAAGACTACAACGTTTGATCTAAAAAAAAAAACGAAAAAACAAAAAAAAGCTTTTTTGACTTTCTCCACAAAGACAGAGGGAAGAACGTTTATTTTCTTTGCAATCCAAATTGAAGTTCAATATGGCATTACCGGTGACGAAGTAACAACTGAAAGTTGTGGTAAAAAAAAAAAAAGTGTGGTCGATCTTACATACAGTACAATATGCCACTTCAGTCGTCTAGCCTCTAGGCGGCAGTGTTGCTAATAGAGTACTGTACTGTAGTTTATAGTTGACAAATAACTATAGCAGATTAAAAAAATCTTTACCGTGTCTTCTACCATAATTCACAATGCACTTTATTAGCGAGGCAGACAATTTGTGTTTCTCAGAATGTGTGACAAAGAAAACAATTTCTTGTCGTTTCGGGGGGAAATGCATGCATTTTAGGGTTTCGTTTTTAAAAGTTGCGATTAGTTTTGAACCAAATTTTAAAACGAGCTAATTTTGTGAGTACAGTAGATACTTTTTGGGGTAAAGTTGCTGGAGTCGTCTTCAGAGTTGCCAAATCGAGCAACAAACGTGCAACGTTGGGGAGTCGGTAGGTGGAGTCAGACACGTTCGCTGGCGATTACGTCATCAAAGGGAGTAGACATTGAAACACCTGACACATTCATACAACTCTTCCGTTCGTACAAACGCAACATGTTTTATTCCCTTTTATTCAGAGCTTCTACCGCGTCACCCCTTCTTTATTAAAAGAACAACATTTTAAAGAAGAGTTTCAAGTTTTTTGTTGTTGTTTTGTTTTGTTTTGGGTTTTTTACGTGTCAGTGGCTACTTGTGAATGAGTGTAATTTGCCTGTCTCGATGCTGGAGGGGCATTTGTCAAACAGAAGCATGGAGGGCTTCAGCAGAGTCGCTTTTCGTAGGAAACAACAAAGTCTGGATGGAGAAGACACGGGTGAGCTGAGAGCTTTTCTTATTTTTTTCCTGACAATTTATTTAATTCTGCTTTTCTGCTACAAGATGACTTGTGTTTATGACTATGACGATGTGTTTGTGACACTGTTGTGAAAATGAATGCATTTGGGTGAGCAAACAGGACATTTTACCACTACCAACTGTTGTCGCTGAGCAGGTATGAATGTTTGCATACAAGTTCCAGCCTGTTGTGTCAGCATCTGCAACCTGGAGGGCTCAGTTTGTTTTGTTTTGTTTTTTTTCTCAACTGTGTAACATGCAAAGAGGTGCAGTGCGGTGCTTCGATGTGTTCATTATTAGTTAGGGTTCGGCAGTCTGGTTCTTGCAGTGCTTAATTTTTTGAACCAGTTCCATCTCTCAATCTTTCTGCAAGCAAATTAGCAGGGAGTAGCTCATGTTTGAGCTGGCAACTCTGCATGTGCAAACATGCAAGTGAGAACAGTGCCTGCACTTGTAATGTGAACTTTGCTCTGTTATAAGTGAAGTTACTTGGCTTAGAGTACACAAGTGGCGGCTGATCAGGGCAACTAAGGCCCTCTCTGCTGGCCTAAACAGGAGCAGAACCAGTGACTTAAAACTACAACCCAATTTGTAGTATTTGTCCCATAAAATTACTTTACTTTATTCCCAACAGTGTATTCTCCTCATTTTGTAATTTTTCTCATGGCAGCACTAAGGCAAAACTGTTTCAACGTTGGACTATACAGAATTAACAGATTTCAACAATGTCTTGCTGACTCGTCAAAATCTGTTTGAGTAATATCTTTCAATACGTGTGTAATGTAATTGTGATTAATTGAAACAACAGAAAGAGGTATCTGCACTTCGGTTTTGCCCACTACAAACGAAATGATTAATATCTAAAACGTTCTTTTTGCTTCAAAACTGAACTACACATTTCTTAACACCTATCCAGTCTACTAGCATTTAGGTGTTAAAACGGCTGCAAAGCCGCACTGCTTCCAGTTCATGTGGATGTTAATTTTTTTTGGTTGTTGTCTAATCAGATTTCAACTTGTATGTGGAGTTATGTCAGGCTAATATGCCCAGTTAGCAATGAGACAGTCTCTTTAACCCAGGGGTGTCAAACTCATTTCACATGGTGGGCCACATACGGCCTGGGTAGATGTCAAGTGGGCCGGACCATTAAAATGATACCATACTTTGCTATAAATAACCAAAACAACATGTCTTTCCTTTGTTTTGGTATAAAGAAGCACAAGAACATTAGGAAAATGTTGAAATTAAATGAACATATCTTTTACAAAACATTTCATGAAGCACCTTACATTTCCTTCGACAAATGTGCAATTTACTTTTATCATTCACATATATGCATTGCAACTGATCCCACTGATTGTACAAACTTTAACAAGTAATTGGTATTGAAAAATATAGTAATGCACTTTAAGATTAAA